GTCGGCTCACGGATTTCATTTTATGATTTTTATAAGACTCGACATATTTTTTACCCGATCTCTTATTCTCGCGTTAATGAACAACGTTGATACGACTTTTCTCTTTGATATTCGATAGATCGTTAACTTTGTTACCCCGATACAGGCCGTAATTGCAGCTGAAATGGGCCATGTGAAAATGAGAGATTTTCAAAATAGGACCGGGTTCTCGTTTGAACGTTCCGTGTCGTTAAACGACACCCGCGAAGTTGCTATCACCCGCGTGGGAGGTCAGAAATGTTTGACATTCGAGAGCGGTTCGGAAGGGCTGAGAGCCAAGGGAGAGGAAGGGAAGTTGAAAGGTGTTGTTGTTCCTGCGACTCCGGGATCGTACACGACGATTATCTATGCTCGCGCGTTACGCTCGACCGTCGGGGAATGCAAAACACGGCCTCGATCTATGTCCTTTTTTTCAACTTTCTTCCCCCTCTCTCTCTCTCCCTCTCTCCCTTTTTCCTTTGCCACCCGATAAGGATTTATTTAATCCGATAACCGAGTTTAGATACCGAGACGAATGCGGCTGGTTAAACTGGATACCCGTAGTAGTATCGAGAGCGATACGCTAACTCGCGAGTTACCAATTCCGAACCAGTTTCCCAGCTTTGTTTCGCGTACGCATACTCGTTTATTTATTAACGATAAATAGAAGACTCATTCGATCGATCGATCTCTTCCTCTGGTTTGTTTTGTTTCCCCCCTCCCCTCTCTTTTTCTGTTTTTCTTTCGCTTGAAAACATTCGAGGACCGTACAGATTTCGAATTAATCGGTCGATGGTTCGTAACAAAATACATTTTCGTTCGTCAACGTCAAACGGGATATGTATAAAAGGAAAGAGGAGAAAAAAGAAGAGATAGTTTTCTCTCCGTTCTTTCTTTGTGGACTGCATATCGGAGGCATATTCATTGAATTTGATCGGGCAGCAAGGGATTGCATGGGGGTGTGTCTTCTCGGTGGGATTTCGAGATGTAAAAAATAAACACAAAACAGACGAGTCCAACTCGATCTTTTCCACCCTCTCTTCCTTTCTTCTCTCTCTCTCTCTCTCTCTCTCTCTCTCTTTCTCTTTCTCTTCTACTCTTGTTCTTTCCAGTTTCGTATCTTTCCATCCTGGTCTACGTTGACGATCGAGCCTCGAGGGAAAGCAGCAGCCCTTCCTTCGGCTTCACCCCTTAATTCGAAGCGGTGAAGCGTTATCCTCTCTCCCTCTCTCTCTCTTACTCTCCTTTTCGTTCGGAGGCTGCGTGCCGAAATCAAAAACGTCGAGGGGTAAAACCACCCTCTAAAATCGTTTCGAATCGATAAGGGACGGCCCCTTTCGCGCGCCGACCGCGATCTGCACGCGTGCGAATACGCGACGCGTTCTTTTGGGGTCGTTCGTTCGCTCGTTCTCGCGTTTCTACGTTTCTTGCTCGCTCGGACGCGCGAGTACATACGCGAATAAGAGAATGATCGAGAGAAGGGGGGTTACTGCATCGATGTAAAAGGTGCGATAACGCGTTGGGCTTTCATCGAAATTAATTGCGCGCGCACGTACCTTTTCCTTCTTCATTCTCTCCTCTCTCCTTCGCCCATCTACCTTCTTCCCATTTCCCCTTTTCTCGTATTATTTTCGAAACACGTCAAATAACAAGAGAATAACACGTAAATGAAAAAAAAAAAAAAAAGGAAAAAAGGAAAAAAAAAATAAAAAAGAGAGAAAACGAAAAGAATAGAAAGAAATAAAAAATAAATACTACCTATGCGAGGTTGCGCGAACGTTGAAAGCTCGATATTAATTCGAAATAACGAAGGGGTGGGTCGCTAATAAAACGTTTTCGAAGGGACGAACGATTTGTTTTCAACTCGAGCCGCCTCGAATTCTCTCGGATATTACAAAATTTGGTATAGCATCAACGGGAAAAAACGGTAGGGTATTTTGGGATCGATGGGAAAGCTCGGTAATCGTTGCTCCTCGAAATCGGCTTTCGTGCCGATTCAACGCGGTCGGCCATCCGTGAAACGTCGCTCGTTTTCGTTCGCGTATGTTACGTGCGATACGATACATCGCGGAAAATGTCCCGTACGAAATTGTCGTTATAAATATGTTTTTCATTTTGTTTTTCCATTTCGTTTTATTACGCTTTTCTTTTTTGTTTTTTCTCTTTTATTACGCCTCTACACTACTCGCAAATTATTCCATTGGGAAACACAGTAGATCTCCATTAACGTTTGTCCATGGTACGTATATACGTGTGCTCGTAAAGGAAAAAAAATTCTCTATATTCTCAATCGAAATTAGAACTCAATAGCGAGATCGGTATGTGCCCCAGCAATTAAATTGAATTTTTAATCTTTCCGTTTCTTCTTCTTCTATTTTTTTTCTTTTTTTTTTTTTTGTTTGTTCCTTGTTTTTTTCTTTTTTTTTTTTTTTTATTTTATTCTTCAGCTACGCAACGCATATATAGGATATACGTAAGCAAAGTTGTACGTTTCAAAGTATCTGCAAATGTAGCGCTAGGGAAATGATTAATTATCGAGTGAAGCACGTTCACCGTAATATCGTAACACGAATCGAAGTAACGAGTTCGTAACGGACGAGCAATTAATTATATACCGGAGGAACGTTCGCCACCGGTCGTTCGTTCGTTCGTTCGTTCGTTCGTTCGTTCGTTCGTTCGTTCGTTACGTGACGAGGCCGTCGTCGTCAGTGGAAGTGGACGCAACACGTTGCGAGCACCCTTTGACGCTGTCCATTTTGTTTGCCAACTTGTTGGTCAATGATGTCGCTTAACCGATCTAAACGCAAACTTTGGCACTCGTCATGTTTGTTCGACCGTTCGACGCATTCAACAAAAGTATATCTCTCTACTTCTTTCGAGTATCCTCTCGTAATTCGTCTTTGCGCCTTTGAACTGACACGACTCTTAGATCACAAACTTTTTGTCAAAATTGAGAAAATTTTTTAGAAAAGCCGAGAAAATTATATATCGTTTAAAATAACAGGACGTGTTCAATTGATAAAACGAAAGAAAAAAAAAATAAAAAATAGAAAAGAAGGAAGGAATAAAGGAAGGAAGAAAAAGAAAGGATTCCATCTATTCGTACTTCTCATTAATGGTTTGTACGTTGGTACGTCCGTTCGTAGATACGTATGTACGTGTGTACGTTAAGCGACTAATTAACATCTATGACCGACATAAATACGGTCCAACACTCTGTATGCTGTATTTACGGGAGTGTCGCTTTTATTAATATACCGTGCTTGGTATATTTACAATCTAGACTCGTTTAGGACTATCGTAAGTAGACTGGACTGGTATAATATCGTAAGAGATATTGCTTTCAACTAAAGATTTTTTCGATTTCCTCTGAGATAGGCATCACGGATTCACTGTTTATCGATGCACATTATACGCGTAAATGCTCTTCGATAAGAGATATTCGTTCGAGAGTGTTCGGTTATCTTTAATGCGACGAGAAAGAATCGGATAACGAATGCTACCAAAATGTAAAATTTAAACGAGAGAGAAAGAGAGAGTACATAATGAAGAAAGCGAATATAGAAAAGCTATTAGCGTTTCGTGTCGAGAAGCGATTTAGGATCTTCAGGGTCAACCGTTGAGGTTTTTCCACTTTGTAACTCGCACCTTCTACCTCGTTATCGGGACATTTTCGTCTTGCAAAACTTTTGAATTTGGCAAAACATGTTGGAAAGAAACGATCGTACGACGAATATACTCGTACATGAACGAACCATTTTGGACCGGTCGATAACGTTGTTAATTAGGCAGTGCCGGTGTGTTAATTAATTTCTCTGCCGTGGAGAAATTGCATCGGAACGTGATAGCCGTCGAGCGCCGAAACTCGAGGCGGCCTGTTACGACTCGAAAAACTTCTCTCTTTCTCTCTCTCTCTCTCTCTCTCTCTCTCTCTCTCTCTCTCGCGTATCGACGATTGACTCGTTCTCCAAGTCAAAAAAAGAAAAAAAAGAAACAGAAAAGGGTAAGCCGCGTTACGTTAATTGATACGTGGCCACGCGAATCGTATAATTTCTCTTGGCGCGAGAATCATGCGAGAGGTTATACCAGCTGTTCGGGTACTTGCTTGGTGAATTTTTCGTTTCGTCGAGGAAAACAAAATACAAAATAAAAGAAAAAAAAAAAAGGAGAAAGAAAAAAAAGAATCAAAGAAAGCGAATTAAAAATTATAGGACGTCGTATTCGTTATGGACATTTTTTATAAGAAAAATAATTGCTTACGGTCAGACCGTTCTTTTTTTTTTTTTTTTTTTTTTTTTTTAATGAATTTTCAATTGGCAACTAAACGTAGTACGAAGAGGGAGATGAAGGATAAGGAGAAGAAGAAGAAGATGAAGAATGAAGGAAGTTCGAACGACGTCTGGTGAGTTGCCTCGGTACGTCGCGCGAGTCTCTCTCGTTTCTCGAGGCTCGGGCGTTAATTTGACGCGGCCTGCTGTGGCGGCCGTTTACCGCAATGAGTTATATTCTCGGGGGGGGCACGTTTATGCGAGAGTACCGCATGCGTACGTATAACATACGTACGCGTACGCGTACATGTTTCGTACTCACCTACCCTTTTTCCTCTTCCTACTTTCTCTCCTTCTGTCCTTCTTGTTTCACGATGGAAAGAGAGACACGCTTCGTTGATCCTCCTCTCTCGCGCCATTTCCGATTCTCTTTGTATACTTCAAGGACTTTCCCTTGAGACAGTTTCTCTTACTTTTATTTTTCCTTTCTTTTTTTCCTTCTTGTTTTGTTTTTGTTTTATTTTTTTACCGATTGTGACCTAGCTAGCGTTCATGTAAAAGCAACCGAGACGATATCGTTTCACGGCCATTGAAATTCTTCGTCTCGCCCTACCGCGAAAAACTTGGATGGTCCTGGATCTCTTCCGCATCGCCGGACGGGGGACACTCGACGATTTTATTACGGGAATCCTTTCTCCAATTAAGCGGTCGCTA